CGAAATCAGGACTGAACCTCTTAACACCAATGTAGCATTAAGAAGCAGGCATTTCTTTATTCGGTGCCGGGTGCATGGGGGATCATTCCTCCTAACACGCACACATTAAAACAAAAGTTTGTTCTTTGTGTACCTTAAAGACTTGAATATTGATACATTTTGCAAGAAGTCTCTGCCTTTCCACCTATTTATTACATTTACATAATGCTGGCGTTGCAAAACTACACTCTGTATGTGCGGGGGTCTTGGGTGGTTGTCGGTGGTTGTTTGGGGAGATAGCCCCCCTATTCCTTTTTCCCTTTTATGGTCATGAGTCTTTTGAGGACAATTTCTTCTCTTTGGATGTTTCCCAAATCTGTTGTTCGGCCAAACTGTTCTTTCTTATTTGCCTTCTTTGAGCAATTCTGCCAGGTTGTATCTATCCTCAAGCTTAGAATATCTTCTCTGTACACTTTAATCACTCAGGCCTTGTTAAATTCAAAGTATTTTGTTTAGTGAAAGAATTTCTCAACAGTGTGAGACCCTAGCCTGTGTTCACATGGTAACAAAGCCAAAGTCTCACAGTCAGGGAAGGAAGGATCACATCCTTTAATGTCCTTTATTGTGATTTTCTTACCAGAAGTTAGCCGTGGTGTTAGGGATGCATTTCCTTCTGTCTCGCCATATGTTAGTCTTGCCTACCACAGAAGCCCAGGGGTAGCCTTCGCCACAGCTGCAGCAGCGTCTGTCTCCCTCCAGAGAAACTCTTGCAGTGACGGTAGCTGGAGAAGCCCCGCAGAGGAGCGGCTTCTCTGTGCACGTAGCTGTGCGCTTTTGGTGGTTGTCAGGTATATAGTGACTCCTGGGTTTGCTCCAGGCAAACTGAAGACACACACCGCCCTGTACTCGCTGTATTTACTGGTGTAGGATATGATAGGGAGGGGACTTTATATGGGACAGATATTTTAAAATAGGTTTTTGTGTGTGTATATATCATTATGTTCCATATTTACCAATATGAAACTAGATAGGAGGGTTTATCTCTTTGCAGGATCAACAAAATTGCACAGAGCCGTAATTAAGTTGAAGATTTTAAAACACGATTTTTGTATCGGTCAAGTGAGTTGTGTATCTTATAATACCTCTATGTTTAATGAAGATACCCTGTCCAATATCTGTCCGTATGAATTACTTTTTAAACCCTTTAGTTAATAAGGAGTTTGTAAATATTTAAGATCGTTAAAAATAAATTTAAACATACATATTTAATAAATTCTTTTCTTATGATGTTTAACAACTGTAAGTCTCCAAAAAATAGATCAGGCTGTCACTGCTCCTGCTTTTTTCCCTGCCATCTCAGTTTGCATTCACTGGAGCACACCATTCAGATAGAGAGCGAGTGAGCTCTGGGAGCCGAATTTCTTGCCTTCTGATAACTTATGCACTGTTTTAATTCCCATCTTTTATAATGTGCTCTTAGTCTTTTTCCTTTTTTTCTTTTTTTTATGAAAAAAGGCAGTTAGATGGTCGTTCTACTTGCCCATGTTTGGGTATTTTTAATTTATTCATATGCTGGTTCGAATTCTCCTTAATGGAGGGATGGCAACAAATAGCAGAATAAGAAATTCATGCAGATTTTGTGAATGTTGCTGACTGATAGAGAAAAAAATATGAAAAAGTAGCATCTGTGAGAAGAAGGCAGCAATCTGAGCTCTACTTTTTTCATCTGGCCTGTTGGCCTGACAACGATAACCCAGCGATAGCCGTAGAGGCAGAGCAAATGGCCCAGTGCTCCCACAGAGCTAAAGGGCAAGGTGCTAAGGGAAAAGTGCAATAATAAGGCTAAGCATATAGTCATCCTTTTATTCTTCCAGCTGTTTTATGGCCTTCCTGTGTCAGAAGTGGTGTTTGACCAGCCGGAGCTTGTGCTTTCTTTGTTCAGCTGGCAGTTAGGGGATGTTGCAGGGGCCAGGGCAGGAGAACGCCCACAGCTGGGACACGCAGGGAGCTCAAGGTATAGGAGTCAAAAACGCAGTCAGAGGATGTGAGGTGGAGCAAAGACTGTTGCGATGGTAATTTCCATTGTGAGTTTACTTCCAAGATCTTTGGAAATCTGTTTTCATTTGTTTACAGATAAATTTTTCTTCACTCAGCACTTCTCTGTACCAAAAACGGCCACTGATGTATCACGTTGCTATAAAATACAATCAGCTTAACTATAGGAAGCGTACTGTCTGTTGCCTTTTTAAGAAAATGAAAGAAGACATCCTAGACAATCATGTCAGCAAAACCTAATCTATATTTTAGCTGTATAACATCCTTTTGAACCAGTGAATTGCCAGCTGGGAATTACGGACCTGGGATGCTGTAGTTTCTACTGCTGTAGAAGCCTAGTGAAGCCAGGCAGCCTGCCTTACTTTTCCTGAGGTGGTAGTTTTTATTGTGGAAAAGTCCTTGGAATATCTCTAGGACAAAACTGAAACAGTTCCTAAAAGGTAACAACTTCCCCATGGGAGCTGTGATAGCGGGTATCTCCAGTTAATGAATTGTGGTATCTTCCATTTCCATGCAACTTAAGAGCCAAACAATGAAATTGCCCCAAGGAGTCCGTAGATTTAGGGAGACATGCTTGACCTCTGCTCTCTAGCAGGACCTGCCCTACACTGGGACCTGTACTGATTTAGTTTCTCTAGTGTTTGGATTTTCTTGTATAAAAAAAGGCATTTAAATGATCTGCTTCTCCATAGCACTGGTAGGGAATATGTTCTGTTCCTTTTGCCACTGTAGGGACAGTATTTCATATCCTTTCCATAGTTATTGTATTTGTTTTTTCTTAAATCTGTATTCCAGGAAATTAGATGACTTGTGTCTTGTTGATCCATCTCCAAGGAGTTCTTTGTCCCATTATCATTAAACTTAAGTGCTTGATACCTGTGAGTTGGTTCTTCAGCTAGTGATTTCCCTTTGTTATTCCATAATGAGATATTTCTCAGTAGGTTTTGCATGAAAGTCCACTTGCCAAAACCTTGGGAAGTGTTTTTCCTAATTCAGCTCTCTATTTGTATGCTGTATAATTGCAGTTTACTTCTCTGTCAAGTCCATTGCTCTTGAATATATTGTGCTCTCAGATGGCTTTAGGGAGAGATAAACCACATGATGATATTAATGCCTTCTTCCTTGCACTCGCTAGTCTATACCTCTTATGCTCTTAAATACTCTGTATCGACCTACTGTATTTGGGCTTCATGTGATTTAGCATTGGTAGATAAATAAGGAAGCCATTGAAATGTTTATGCTTTTTATTGACTTAGGGTGCTTTGGAGAGCAGCATTAATCTACAGTTCAGTGAAGCAGTAAGAAAATGAAATACTCCCTCAAGAGTTTTCTTTTGTAAATAGGGCCTTGCATTAAGCTGCTGGGATCTGGCATGTTTTCAGATTTTTGAATGCACTGGTTTTGTCTTCATTAGTAATTATAGCTGAGGGTAATAACACTGGAATTGTCCTTCATCAGAAATAACAATAAGACTTGATGATGTGGGTATGTGATGTGCTTTGGAAATGCTTGGCCTTGACCTCATGCTTTAGGCTTGCTTTGCTGCTGCCTGTCCTCTGGTGTAAACGCTGGCTCCAACATATGGTCACCTTAAAATGCTAAATTAGAGCAGCAGCCTTTTATGCCCGTTTTGTAATCATTGTGGTATGAATGACTGGACAATGAAGAGGAATGAATAATCTGGTTGTGATATTTAGTTGGCTCAAACTAAATCGTGAAACACAGTGGTAAAAAAATGTTCTCTTAGTCCTTGCTGTTGTTTGTCTGTATTTAATTTGTGGGATCTGACTGTGAGACCATTATAGAAAACATGTATTTGGATATCAGTCACCTGGTATATGAATGACCTTGGTAAAGTCAGTTCACCCTTCTGTGCTTTACTTCTGCTTTAATGTCTTTTTTTAAAAATGTAGGCTGAAAGTGGAATTGGTTGGTTTGTGTTGTGTTTTGGTTTTTTTTTCACCTAACTGATGATCATTTTTTTTTAAATTAAAAAAAAAAGAGTTGTTGTCTTGGGAGGTTTCTCATGAAAAATGTGAAAAATAATGTTTGTGTTTTTCCTGGCCTTTGCAGACTGAAAAAGTATATGATTACAAAGCACTGCAAAGTTTATGGTGATATTTTTAGTTTTTTCCATTATAAATTTTTTTCCCCCATTTTTCCATAGAATAATAATTTTCATTTTTTGGAGAAGCTTTTAACTGGTGGGACAAAAAAGTGTTTTGCTGCTGTAGTTAGAAAAACCCAGAAGGAAAATGTTCTGTTGTTCTTATTCTGAGATTTCTGAATGCAGATGTCCTTACTTTGGAAAAAACATTATTGTTAGCCTAATCTATACCACAGATAAAATATGTTTTTAAAATCTGTATTTGAGGATTTACAGTAGAAAGATGTTGGTAGTGTTGATATTGAAGGGTGTTGTATGAGCTACAAACCACAAAGCAGCATCTGCATCTGACCGGCACCCTGTAGTATTTAATTTTTTGATTGATTCTGCTATTTGAAAATACTGGGTTTTATTATTATCTGTACATTTCCTCAACATACAGGATGATGTTAGTTCAGCACCTGTATTAATTTCCCGAAATGTCTGGGAGAAGTAGGCTTCAGAGCCAGATCTAGTTCTAAGTACAGTTTACAACAGTGCTGTTTAGCAGAAAACGTTGTAATTATGCTGGGATTTTTGGATCCTTTGGGAGGTTATGTGTGCTTGGGAAGAAGAGTCATCTACTGTCTTATTCCTCTTCTTTTCCTTCTCCCGTTCTTCTTCCTCATCTGTAGTAAATTGGTAGCCAGATTGTCTTCCATTACACTCTGCCTACACACATAAATTACAGGAGGAAATAAAAGGAGGATAGAGCACAAACCTTCATAGTTAAATGCATGTTACTTCCAAGAAAGCAAAATGTGTGGCATTTTTAAGACTTTAACACTACAACTTATCTTTTTCTCCTATGTATTGGCAGGATAAAAAACTTGAACATGCCTCGTAGCCCAACATCAAGTGAAGATGAAATGGCACAAAGCTTTTCCGACTATTCTGTTGAATCTGAATCAGACAGTTCCAAAGAAGAAACTATTTATGACACAATTAGAGCAACTGCAGAAAAGCCAAGCAGCAGAATGGAAGACAGTCAGAGCAACACATTAGTGATTCGAATTATAATACCTGATCTGCAGCAAACGGTAAGGCATATTGCATTACAATTAACAAACAAACAAAAAGTAAAATTAAATTATTATCTTTGCTGGCTTCAATCTGCAGTAGATCTGTTCTTATAATTTTTTGACATATTACAGGCAAAATTTATGTGTGTTTTCTTTTAATGTCTACATTTTGTACCCCAGTGGTATATCTGATTGCCTAAACTAAAGGCACCATCCCATCCAAGAGAGTGTATTTAGTATGCTAACTTGATGAAAATTATGATCATAAAGCAGAATAGCTGTCTGATCTGCATTCAGAGGCATTTGTGTAGAAAGAAAGAGAATTATGAATCTAAATAATCTCGTCAGAAGATGAGGGTTGAACCCCAAAATCACCTCTTATCTCTATGAAAGCCTCATATATATATATATATATATAGCTCCACTCTCTTACCTAGTTTTTCATGATGTAGTTTGTGATTAACACTAGACTGGGGTCCAGCACAAGGTCATCAAATTCTCTCTTTCTCTTTACCGTATTTGTTGCCTTTCTCTGTCATCCTCCCACAAAAAGATAACCTTGTGAGATAGCTGGTGGCTTTCTGATCATAAAGATGAGGAAAGAAAAGCACAAATCTTTCCTCCTCCTTTGCTGCTCTGTCTTTACTACCTTGTGTTTCTCAAACTTCCACCCAGACAACTCAGCACACTCACTTCAGAGGAGGACTAAAACATGGCATCAAACTGATCAGAGTTTTTACAATGACATGAAATTGCTATTTTATTCTTTCCCACCTCCTCACCACTTACACTGTAAAGGTATCAGATGGGATAAATGAACCTTTTCTAATTTTCCTAGAGGAGTCATTTGCAAGCTGACTTGTGGTTCTATGGCTAAATCCCACAACGCTAATTCTGTTGGATGAAAATAGGGTCTTTTCAACAATAGATTTAATCCCTGTCATTTTACAGAAAGAATTGAACAGACTTTTCATTTGTTAAAAAAATTTGATTGAGTGAATGAGAATAAAAGTTATTTTTCAATTTAAAGAATATCTTGGACATTCCTTAATATATTAGAAATCTACAGCCCAAATTCATCAACTCTTTCTCACAAGAAACTATTCAGCTGTGTTTCTTTTATGGTTGAATGTGTAAAAGTTGGAAAAGTTTGCTGTTGTAATTTTGTAAATAAACGATCATTGTCCTCCACAAGTTCTACGATAAGAATACCAATCTCATTCCAGAGAAGGTCTTGGGAGTTACTTACTGATTCTATCTAGAACCACAACTTGTCCAAGTTTGTGATTAATTATCTAAATTACCCTAGGCCTCCTTGAATGCTGTTGTTGGGATTTTCAATTGATGGTAGGCATCAGAATTTTTTCGTTTCAAAGATGATTATAAAAACACATTCTTTTTCTGGTTGTGTGCTACATACATCACTCTGTTCTGACATTTAAGATCTACATCATACTGTGCTGCCATTGAAGATCTATCTCAGATGAAATTACTCCCTTCTTTTTAATTAAGTTCATTTTTAGCATGATAGAGATGGCCTGTCTACAGGCTGACAGGGAAGAACTGTTTTGACAGTTGGGCCTCAGGTGTAGTTGTAGAGCTCTTTTTATAAAGCCCAATCTACCCAGTGCTGCAGAAACTCAGAGAAATTAGTGTTGGAGTTAGGAGTATTATCTCTTAAATTTTTGTATTAAAAAAATGTCTTAGGATTGCTGCTGAAATTACAGCACCACTCCTTTGTCTGGTGTGAGATGAACCTCTCTGACAAGGCAGTGGTGGGGGACCTGAGCAGGACAGAGGCTGCAGTGAGCCACACATGGGATTTTGATTACATCTTTGCTGAAGCAGTCATCACCTTGGGTGTTTCATTTCAGTATTGTTTGAAATAATGAAATCCACGAGTGTATATTTTAAATTTAAAAAGGTTTTGACTGTAGTGGAGTCCTCTGTCAAGACAAACTGACTGGACGTGGTTAGGATTTTATCAATGATGCTACCAGCTTGCAGTACCTTTGATTGGGTTCAGTGCTCAATGAATAGATCCAGTAAAATGGAAAGATTAGCTTTACTTCCTAGGTTTAATCTGCTGTTAAAAACAGAGAGATGGCTGGCCTCCTGAAGCCCTCTTATTTCATTACTCTAGTTTTTAGACCAATAGGAAGTTATTTATTGACACTATTGAAACAATTTCTTTTTAAAATTAATTTTGTGCAGGAAATGAAATAAACCAAAAAGTATTTTTTGCTTTGTGTTTCATTTGTTTGTTTTTATTGCTTTACCTTTAGTACATTTTTTTCTTTTTTAATAAAATTGTAATGAAAAGTAACTCAATTGCTTTAAACAGTTCTCTAGAAGATGACCTATTTCTCATTTAATTTATTGGCCCACAAGCTCTTGTACAGGAGAGTGAAATCTGGATTCAGGTTTGCAGACAGGAAGACCGATAGCAAAGTTTGAACAAGATCGTAGTTCACGAGCTGTGTTAGAGCTACAAGCCAAATCCAACATATACCCCACTTGCTGTATAATTATAATTAATTTAACATGAGGTGTTTAAAATTAGTTTGTTTAAGCAAAGGAGCATCAATGACGTAATTTAGTTTTATGTGTTTATTGGTTTTTAGAAAGTAGGATCAAGAATTTTTTGTTTAAAAGAAGGCAAGTTTAGGGTTTTAGATAAAAGTCAACCCACTGGGAAGCTTTAACCCCCTAGCTAAACTCACTAGGAATGTTTGCTCATCTGCCGTGACTGTGGTGTAAATCACCTTTATTCCCTTGCATGTATGAGATAAGCACCAAGCATCATAGGTTGCATGTACTGCCATAGAAAACGTCATTAATTATTGCCCATTGTTGGAAATCTGTCTTGTTGCCCCTCTATTCTCATTTGAAACTTTAAAGATAATGTAAACCTTCACAAGTTCATTTGAAGCTCTTATGAAGACGTTTCAGTTCTTGTATCAGTTATTTTTTTGTCTCCTTTTCAGTTTGGATGATAATCCAGTGTATTGAAACAGTACTTTGTAGAAAGAGTAATTTCTTATTGCTTTTCTGCATCATCTGTATTCAGGGAAGTGTTGTCCTTACCACAGGAGGAATATTTAAATGACTGTAAGAGTTCTTGAGCTCAGTAAACTACTGAAGGAATGGAGAGCATAGAAAGCCCTCTAAACATGTGTGCATAGGAGAGTGGGCAAAAAAGATGTATTATCTGGCATTTAATTTCCTGATTTAATAAGCCAGGAGGCTCAGCTTTAATAGATCCTTCATGGAGACAGGACACAGGTGTAATCTCTTTTGACCAGAGGGCCCTGGCTTGACCATCACCCCTACTCCTTGCTATTGAGATGGATATGACAGTAACTGCCCAGTTCCTCCTCCTCCCTTTGCAATAGTGGTGGAGGGTTTCTTGGCAGCTTTGCCAGTATTCATTTGTGTTTGCCCTTAATGTGAGGATGCTTCATCCCAAGGGCAGTGAAGTTCAGGGTCACTCTGTCAGTGGCACTGCTTGGTGACAGATCTGCATTTTTCCTCCTTGGTAAGCAAAGTTAGCAGGCAACAGCCCCCAGCAGTTTGCTGCCCAAGGCGACTGCCTACCTTGTGCCTAAAGGCAACCGTGTCTGTGCGTGGTGTGGAGTGTCTTTTGGATATGGCAAACTGGGTGAGCTAATGTGTCTGCCATTTCCTTGGTGATGCCTGGCATAGCTGACCTCCCCCTGGACCTTTCTTGGTCTGAATCCAGGGTAAGTCTTCATATATCCATTTCCTTTTTCAGCCCGTGTAGGGACATATCGCAAGTGATTCTGCCTGTAACTGGAAGGAGTCTGGATCTTCTCCAGTACCTGTTGTCAAGAAAATCTCTGTGCAATATTCTGTCAGTGATGTCCAATGGTTTGTGCTTAGAATTGCTCTTTTTCCCAGACTTCAAGAGCAGATCTGTTAGCCAATTGTTTTAAGGAATATTTTCATCATTTTATTAGCAACACATGTTCTGCTTTTACATGCTCCTTCTGGGTTATGTTTAAAATCAAAATGCTCAGATTCATATGTTTTATGAAATTCTGATGCTGAGATGGGATTGGGTCTGCTGAAGACTTCTTTGAAATGCTTTCTGCCCATCTGTTTTGCTGCTCCACTTCAGTAATGAGTATTTACTGACTCCCTCTTTTTTTTTTTTTTTTTCCTTTTTTTTGTATAAATTGGAGTTTCCATGCAAAACGTTTGGTAAGTGGCAGTTTGGTAAAACAAGTTTAAGTTGTAGCTACTTTCTGTTTTTCTGCTTCTGCATTGCTTTTTATACTTATGTATCCTTTCTTTATTTTTTCCAGTATTCATTGGCCTTTAGGATTAAGAATTGTTACCTTCAGTGCTTTTCTTTCTCAGATAAAACACTTGTTTAGTTTGCGCAATTTTTATCTTAGGAAGGTAGGAACCCAGTTGTCACAACTGCAGCTTGAGTCATATTTTTGCTTAAGATGCCCCCATTTTCTCTTGTTTCAGTCTGTACTGCTGTCTGCTGCCTCAGATCTATTCCAGGTTTTCCTTTGCAACTTTTCACAACTGTTCTTCTATATCTTGTTTTGTGACTGTTCATTGCTGCTTTGTGTTTATAGCTGATCTCTCTTCTTTTCATCTTCAGTTTGACAATGGAAGCATTGTGGGCGATGCAGACATCTGTTGTTATGCCCTTGAGCTGGACAGGTGATCTGACTTGCCAGCTGATGTCAGCGTGGCCAGACTGGTTTTTTCACCTTTCATCACATGAATTCTGTGTTTTCAGAATGCTTTTTGATGAAGGAAAGCAGTGCCTCCAAGGATTAAGTTGAACACTGAGCACAAATCAAAATGAGCAACTTGCTCCATTTTTTTCGCGATACCCGACTCTCATTTGTGTTATCCACTTCTTGGTTGTCACATTGTTAATATCAATGTCTTCTATTGAAAGGAATAACTTGTGATTGTCAGAATATCAAAATACATTTTGGAGGTGGCTGTACAAACTGTCACGGTTCCTCTGTTGTAGCGCAGTTCTGTGTGATTGACATCTTCGTCAGTTTGATGAAAAAGATGTGTTGGCTGATAGATTTGGAAGGGATAAATGTTATTCCTCAGAGATTCTGTATCATGAACATTATTCCCATTGAGTTAGTATGTTCCTTTTAGCTGGAGCAGGTTGAGCTATGTTTTTTCCCTTGCTTCCAGTCCTTGTGTTGCATTTAGTGGCTTACCCTCACCAGTGTGCAGGAATGCAAGATTATAATTGACCATGTCTCTCATGATCATGAACTTTAATATCCAAACCACAGGTGATATCACAGGTGATGTGAGCCATATCTGAAAAAGTGCAGTTTGTGAAGGAATCATGAAAGACAAATCAAGTGGTAATTTTTAATAATTCATGCCCAGGCACAACCAAGCTAGCCAGAGCCCAGTGTTCATGAGCCTGCCTTCCTACCTTGGGCAACCCCCGGTGAAATTGTATCACAGCAGCTTCAGTGGCTTGGCTAGCCAGCAGCAATGAGTAAAGAACATCTCAGTATCAGTGTCTATCAATAGGCCTCGTATCTGGGGATTAATTCACAGAAACCGAACCAAACTCCTCAACTTCAGTATGTCGTGATATTCAAAACCTGCTAGTTACCCCTGCTCTGATAAAGTGAACATATGCTGAGGATTGGTAGTGTTTGCTCAGTTAAATACAGTTGTAAATTGAAAGTCCTTCACATCCTGGTTGTACTTTTCACTGTTGAAAATATTTGCCACTTTAAACAGTCAGGAAAAAAAGACACTATGAACGTACAAAATATTGTGGCTTCTGGTGTTGAATTTGCTCTTCAAAATTCAGAATTGAAGTATTGAAATGAATTTGTTATTGGATTTGCTTATATGGGATCAGAGATTACCCAGATGTATGCAGAGCTTGCCAGGATAAATGTTTAGTTCTAAAAGACAAACTCTAACCGTTTTCTTATGGATGGCCTTGGGACTTTAAAAAAGATGCCAACAGATACTGCAGAAGTGAGCACTGCAGAAGCAGCTGTGGGTAAAGTTAAAGAGTTCACGCTCTTCATAAAACATCAGTCTTACATTTACTTGTTCTGTTCTCTTTACATACGATTATAATATGAAGAGTATCAGAGCTCTTCAGAAAAGGCCTGAAGAGCGGTTACTGACAGTATTACTGCAGCCAGAGTTACAGCTACATTCGCGGACATGTACTGATAAAAAAGATAAATCCAGTAACATTTTTCTTTGGCCCACGTGCAAGCCCTGCATCCTGTGTTGGATCATGAGGGGACAGGGCTGTCCTCTGAGTGGGCAAGGCGGGGACTCCTGGGCTGTAGCTCTGCCATGGCAGCTTGGTACGAGCCCTTCTCATGGCCCAGGATGGGGTGAGTCGGCAGCACCGTATGTTCATAACGCACATCAGAGGCAATAAATGGGTTTCTTGGTATTGCCATCTGCTGGTAGCTCGTAGCCAATGATTGCAGTGTAAGCTACAATTGTAAAATTCCTGAATTTTTTAACTTCCTAAATTCCAACTTGGTAAGAAACAGAGAACTGGAAAGGATTTTCAAGGTTCTCAAGTCCTCTGCTGCTTCATGTCATTTAGTTCCTCCCATAAACTTATCCAAAGATAATGCAGTTTAAAACGTGTTAGAATTATTACTTGAATACTGGTGGGTTCTTTTTATGAAATTCTTCTGGATCAGACTGATTGTCAGAACAGCCTAGAATCAAGTGGCTGTTTAAACATCATATAATATCCCTTTCACTTGGCTTCTCAAACAGGTTTGCCATGAGGGTGTTCTTTCTCTGAAGAAGGATATGGTCTCTGATGTTTGTGGAAGGACTAGAAACGTCCTGTGTTTTCACAGTAATTGTGCATTAGTTATTGTAAAGGAATGTGTGTCTGAAATATTCTGCTGATTTTTATCATTTTTAGAGTGTAAGATACTGTTTAAATGTTTTTTCATTGATTAGGTTTTTTTAATAATTTCTCTTTGCAGAAATGCATTAGGTTTAACCCAGAAGCTTCAGTGTGGGTTGCAAAGCAACGAATTTTGTGCACTTTGAATCAGAGTTTGAAAGATGTCCTGAATTATGGGCTGTTCCAGCCTGCAAGCAATGGTAGAGATGGGAAGTTTTTGGATGAGGAACGACTTCTTAGGGAATACCCACAGCCAGTGAATAAAGGAGTTCCTTCACTAGAGGTATTGTTAGATCTAATATCTGAAACATTTGTATTCTGATACAAATTATATGGGAAGCTGTATTTGAGATTTCTACATGCAGCTGAAATTCATTTGGGAAATAGTGATGAGCAGATCTGAGCTTGAATCCTTGCTCACAGAAGTGCTGGCGTTCACTTGCGCAGTGGAGCTCTTCTCTGTGTTATCCCTGAAAGGTTGCAGGGTCAGTCCCTCTGGGAAATTTGATTTCGGAGTTTTCCTCTGCTGAGGACCTGGGAGATGGAGCTTTGTGATTTGATAAAGAAATGTAAGGTTCTAGATTAAGCTTCTGGGTCTCTTATTAGGTTTGCAGTAGTAGGGTAGCAGTTGCTGAATAACCAGCCCTTGCTTTTTCTCCCAAAGAGAGGGTCCTTCTTTCTCAGTGAAGTAAAGCTTTCCACCACCACCAGTCCTCCACCTAGTTCCCTCTGTGCCCTCCTTCAGAGTGCACAGATTTCCTCTGGCTTTCTCCTGGAAAAGCAGTAAGTGAAGAGGGGGTGTGTATGTGTGAAGCAGTCACACAGACACCGGAATTTCCCCCGCTTCTGTTGCTTCTGCAGAGGGTGTGCAGCTGCGGGATAAACTGGGCAGAACTATTATGGTACTGGGAGAACATGGAGCAGAGCCAGATAACACTGAAACACAGTATAGCAGGAAACTGGGGCATGAAACTAGTATTTCATTACTTTTGGTATTGCTTGTGTGGTGGTACATCAACCACTAATAATCTGAAGTTAATAGACTTACTCCATTATAACACAAATCCAAGAAAAAACAACCAGGGTCCAGAGAAGGTTTCAACTCCTAGCTTTTCTAGCAGTTTATTTCAGAGATTCAATCACTGATATTCATTTTATAGCAATAAACAGATCAAATAACCACTTCCTGTCCTGTTTTGTGAATGTTCGCTGTTTGCAGTTCAGGGGTTAAAAGTGGTCTTGTGAAAAGCTGGTGTTAAAGCCTCATTCAGTACAGTCTCCTTGTCTAACAGATGTGCTGCACTTTGAATTCTGCATAGTAAGGATTAGCTAATAGTAAATTGTAACTATGTAAATCCCATGATTTTTTGCCATAGATCTTGCTACTTTGGCCGTAGGGTAGCATAATGTTCAGGATAAAATGTGAGTGAGTTTCAGCCAAAAAAAGAGGGAATCCTCTGAACCTCATTCACAGGACCAGTATTTTTCCTTTTAAGCATCAGGAGAACTATTCCTATGTTTAAGTTCTGCCTTTGTTGATTAAAGGATTTTTCAGGAATCCTTTTTTTAAGAAAAGTTTCACAAATGCTAAGCTGATATATTGAAGTATGTGGTTTTTTATTTAGCATGCCTTCCCAGTTCTTTCTGCCTAGAGTCTAAATGAAAGTGCACGGATACCCTTCGGGAAAAGTTCTTTTCACTGTAATTCTTACTTATTTATGTAGATTCTAGAGGCCAGTCTCATTTCCCACACACCTCTGCTGATTTCAGTATATTTATACAAGATATGAATTTTGCTTATGTGAACTGTAAAACTGTGATGCCACTATGCTAAGCGAGTGCTGATTATTGCTGAATATTCAAAATGAAATATTAAGACTTTTTAATTACAAATTTATAAGCAAAATAGGACATTTTGAATGTATTCTTTTTTCCTCCCTCAGTTTCGGTACAAGAAAAGAGTCTATAAACAGTTCAATCTTGATGAAAAACAGCTGGCCAAGCTTCATACAAAGGTATGCCCAATTTACTGGAGAAGTTAGCAGTTGCCTGCTTACCAAAGTAATGTGTCTGAGAAACTGGAAATAAGTAGGAGTTTATTACCACCTGGGCCAGTTGCTGAACAACAAGCAGTATGTGCTGCCAGCACCAACAGGGATGTGTAAAGTGTGATCTGGGAATTTCTCTCAGAAAAATTCCCATGTTTGACTCTTCCATATGTATACTAGTAGTTTTAAACGAACCTTCATAAATACAGTGTGCTTTCAGCATGCTGCATAACTGCCAATCTACGTCTTTAAACTTATTTAGGTCAGGATAATAATAATGATCACTGTACTTCATCCTCATTTCTTACTGAATAAATCTTTCCCTCATTTTTTCCTTAAAAGTATAAACTCCAGGATCTTCTTACTGTGTTTCTTTTGAACATTATAAACCGGGGGGTTTATGCTCTCAGTATAAAGTCAGATTCTCCAGGAATGTGAATTAGCTGCTGTTCAATGATGTCAGTAGGTATTGACATCAATTGACAGAATATTTCACTTTTAGTCAAAATTTTCTATTTGAAATTAATGGATGATTCATTTCTCACTCTTTATTTCAGGCTAATTTGAGAAAATTTATGGATCATGTCCACCATCTCTCAGTGGAAAAAATCACAAAGATGTTGGACCGAGGACTGGACCCAAATTATCATGACCTAGAAAGTGGAGGTCAGAACAATAAAACTAGCAGCATAAAGTAGTACCTTGGGTTGCTTCAACCTAAGCTGATTAACAAGATGAATCTCATTCTTTCTGTTGCCTTCAAAACTCTAGGCTAATGGAATTCGAATAGTTTTGCTGTCAAAAGGAGAAAATTGATAATTTATAATTTTCTTTGAACAGCATTTTTAACTTAACAGTTTAAAAGCAAATATTCTTTATTCTATAAATTTTTTTTTTTTTTTTTAATATATGCTATTCTCTTCTTTAGAAACACCCCTAACTTTGGCAGTTCAGCTTGACAATACAGTAGAAGTGATAAAAGCTCTGAAAAATGGAGGAGCACATTTAGACTTCAGAGCTAAAGATGGAATGACAGCTCTACACAAAGCAGCCAGAGCCAAGAACCAAGTAACCCTCAAGGTAAATGCTTTCAGTAGCAAATTATACATTATATTATAGAAAAAATATATAAAGGAGAGTGTTTTCAGTTAATTACTGTATTGTCCTCAGTGGAACTTTTAATATGTGCCTGTTATAGTGCTTTCCTGTGCATTTCAAATCATAGGATTTGCTTTCAATGAAGAGCCTTTGGATTTCTGATTTTTTTTTTTTTTCTGGTAGGAAGAAAAAGTGAAATTTAACCTTATTCATTGATACATTGGGAAAGATTTGAGAAAATAGGAATAACACTATTTGCTTATCTCTTTGAAGCAAGTGCTGGTGGCATGGATTACACATTATATCTTACACAGTCTCTTCTGTTTTCTTTTGTATTCTAACAGGTATTCTTAAATCACCTTGATAGTCTAGGTTAAGTCTTATTTTTATGGCTTTTGCTTATTTCCTTTTGACAGATATTCAAATTGCATGACACTTTTGATAAAGCATCTTGTAACTGAAGAGGTGAATGTGTTGCAAAGGCGATGCGGCATTTTCAGAACTGAGATTTCTGAACTTAATGAGAGGATGGAAATTGGACATTGCCACTCATCCTTTCTTTGCTATCCCCGTAGATTCCTTTAGATCCTAATTCTTCTGAGGTAATTTCTTGCTTAACTTAGTCTGTGCCGTGGCCCATTCTATCAGCTTATAAATAAGTGAACAAAAAATACACATTATGGCAAGTATCAACCTTATAAATACTTGATCAGGTAATGTCCCTTTAGAGTAAGAAGTTCTTCCAAAACACATTTTTCAGTTTGTGGTTCCTTTCAGACCCTTTTAGAGCTTGGAGCATCTCCTAACTACAAAGACAGCTGTGGCCTGACACCACTGTACCACACTGCCATTGTGGGAGGGGATCCCTACTGCTGTGAGCTGCTACTTCATGAACATGCTACAGTCAGTTGCAAAGATGAAAACGGATGGCAAGAAATTCATCAGGTAGGACAGTTAACTTCAAACAAGAAGTTAAACTTGTATGAGGAAATGTGCCGTGTATGTTTAATGGTTAAACACTATTTTGGAGGCCATTTGGGTACGTTTAGTCCATGCACATACAAGTATGGAATTTTTTTCTTTTTCTGTTTGCTTATTACTTTGCATCCTTGCCAGTGGAGTTCTGTAGCTTTGAAATCTGATGGTTACTATGGATTTTGCTGCAGAAATTGCACTAGTTGTATTTATGTAATGGACTCTTAGAAATTTAGCATCCTAATAGTGGCAGTTGGTAAAAAATTGTAAGTTGATCTTTTTGTTGGCTGCCAATTTTAGTATCCTTGGTAATGCTTCTTGCATGTTTGTCAGGGGTACTTTCTCCTTTCTCTCTGGTGAACTTTACAGGAAGATTTGGATTCAGGATCCTGCTGCTAGGATCCTTGATATGTTGCAATGAAGAATGTTAAACTCTCACAGACTCACAGTTTGAGTCTGTTTTCATTCCCTGCGTGTGTGGAAACTGAGATTCTAATGATTTTTCTTTTGATGTTGGTACATGGGTACCATGGGAAGAGGCAAGGAAGGTGGTGGTTCGTGTAGTGCTAGGATAGTAATAAAAGGGATATCCTCTGGAGATACCGATCTGTCTCTGCTGACTGTACCGGGGAGCCCTGATGAATGGTTTGGACTGCTCACCGACCACACACACCCTGGTAGCGAGGGGAGTCTCCCTTGCACTAGTCGTCTTCCAGCACCTCCGCGTAACCTGAGGAAGTGTTATTGTCAGACTGGCAAAGAGGAGGCAAATCCCACTCTAGCAAACAAAGCAAAGTGGAGAAAGGGCCTGGTTTTAGTCCAGTTTATTGTAGTGAGAGTAAAAAGTTGGAATTATTCTTGTAATTAGGAGTAATTCTAATAATTGCATCTGCGCATTCATACTTAGACATTGAGTGACTTTCAGAGACTAGACACCACTGATCATTTATGGCTAATTGTGCATTTCCTCTAATCTCCTGCACAATCAGAAACACAGTTACAGTATGGTGCTGTTTCTCCCTTTGCTCGTTGCTGAATGCTTGCTTTCTCTTGCCTAGCCTTAAAACATTCCTGTTCTAATAACAGCTGCCATAATGTCTCCATTATTTTGGCAGATAATTTGTAAATCAATAAACTATTTCATAAACATTGTTTTTTTCCTTTTCTGTATGTTAAGAATTGAAAGTGGGGGAAGAAAAAGTGCAGTGGTTAGGATACTAGACTGGGATTTGGGATGTGTCACAGGCTTAATTTGTGCATTGGGCAGTACACTTAATTTTTCTCATCCAGATTGCAAGATGCATTAGTTTGAAACTCCCACTGAAGTCAGTAGTAATTAGGTACCTAAGAGTGAATGGCTTTATATACCTGTATCTCTCATCTTAAATTCTGTATTATATAGGAATGATACTGATCTGAGATGATGTGAAGTTGAAAACATTACAAATTGGGAAGTGCTCAGAGGTGTGCTATAGGGAAGAAGGTAGTCAGTGGTCTCCTGAAGATTTTCCCTCCTTTGGGTCAGTGCCCTGTGTATACTTTTCACCTACCTGACATCACAGAATCAAGGTTATTACTTGAATTTTGGCCAGATTTCCTTGGACTGTTTTCATAGCTTGAAAGCAAGCTTTAGAAATCTGATCATCTTCAGTGCCATCTAGTGGACAACTTCCCGAAGATTGGCAGGACAAAAAAAGAACTCTATTTTCTGTTAGTCTGCTTGACACATTTATGTTATGTGGGTAAAAATGGTCAAACTTTGTATTTTCGTGATACCTTAAATTGCCATTCCTCAAATAAGCAGATGCTTAAGCTTATGCACAGACTTGCTGTACCTGAAGTGCACACACTGGTGTTTACAGGCAGGGATGTGCATCTGGATGTTCAGTCCAGGCATGGTTCTAAAAGTTAGACCCTAAGTTAAATAGCATCTTCTCTGCTAAAACTGTTTACCTGGAACGCTTGCCTAGATTGTATAATAACCAGAATACGTATGCATCTCTTTACAGGCTTGCCGATACGGACATGTCCAACATCTAGAGCACCTCCTCTTCTACGGCGCCGATATGTGTGCGCAGAACGCCTCTGGAAACACCGCACTGCACATCTGCGCCCTGTACAACCAGGTGAGTGGGCTCACACCTCTGCCCCCCCAGCGCCCCAGAGTCACCCTGTCGTCCTCCAGTGACGTGCAGGTCCCCAGTGGGGGCGGAGGGGTGCCTGGGGTCCCCTCTGTGTGGCTAAGTGGGGAGGGATGGCTTGCTTTGAGTGCAGGTGGGTCCGGAGAGTTCACTCCTGTGGAGCCTGGAAACCAGGGCTGTGAGAGAATGCCATACAGCCAGGAATAAAAAAACATAACTGAGGTACAAGTGCTAAATCTTTCATGTCCATCCACAGAAACAGAGGCTTGTTGAGTTTTCTGTTGATGTTTACTGCTTTGGTGTTAGGTTTTCCTGAGATGCAGTTTCCTCGCTTTTAATAAATGCTTTTGGGATAAACGTGCCATTATTGATCTGTAGAAGGAAGTTGCACTGAAGAGCATAGCTCATTATTTTTCATTTGATTTATTTCACACACAATGAAGGGTTACAGGTTTCAAACAGTGGTCTTCAAAACTAGAAAAAACATAATTAAAAACTATTTTATTAGTGGTTTATTCACTGATTACAAATAAGGCTGTTCATTGTAGGTAGCAAGAGTATACGTATTAATTGGAAAATAAAACAACATCCTGTTCTATCAGCTTCTCTTTTTTTTTTGTTTGCATCACATCTAAATATTTGGTTCTTATTCAGGATTTATTGCTGTTTTTCTAGAATTTAAATTAGAATTAAATAAGAAATACGTGGAAAATACTGTGGAAACGTCTCTAGATACAGAAGATACCAGATTCTCTGCTGTTTATGACTTGTCTAGTCATTTACAAATAACAGAACCTTTTGATGTGGTAGCATTTTATACTCTCTTTGCATGGATGGGATGAGGAAGGAGTGAGTTTTTCAGTTATGTTAAAACACAGCGCATATAATGTTACATTGAATTAGCAAAACACAAGTCATGAGATGTGACTGTAACTAGTGAAACATCTGTTAGAGCATCTGCTTCTTATTTAATTACCATATTAGTTTTTTTCAAAAGTCTTGTCAAGGCAGATTCCTTAATTAGGTCTAAAATACCCTCAACTTCTTAAAAAATACAGTTTTGGGCATAATTTGACATTTTTCAAGACTGTTGACTTGATGTGTGTGTCATAATTGACATCAGTTCATAAAGAGTCCAGCCATACAAATCTTCCCTGTTAATGCTGATTATTTGCAGTACTCAGCCTATCAGTGGGAGCAGTGGTCCCATCTCTGTGGACTGCTTCTGCTCCCTCTCTACCAACCACCTTCAGCAGGCTGTTAAGTACCTGCATTAGCTAGTTTCAGGTTAGCAGTGGTTTCTTTGCTCAGCTTGGATGGCTTCTAGACCATAGGCATACACAGCTTTTGCAAGTTGGTATTTGTTATAATTCCTAGAAAATTTGGTGGAGAAATGAAATTCACCTTCATCTCAACAAAAATTTTGCAGTTAGGCTTCATGTGATGAGCTTAACGTGTAACTATACGCATTTTTGTTGAAAAAAATATTTTAAAATGCTCACTTTAGCCTCATTTACTTCACTTTTCCTGAATAAGAATTTTGAAGCCCAGACCATAATGCACATAAAAACGTGAACTCATATCTTTTTTTATAATGATTTTACTGCTTTCATGTTTACAAGATCAAACCCTTTTAGCAAAGGTTATGCAGTATGATGCTGAAATTAGAATATCCTGTAGAATGACAGTGTTTTTCATTTAGAGATGTGTTTTCCTGCTGACATCAGTGGAAAACATTATTCTGTAGAATATTTAGAGACTCTAATTGAAATTACATCAGCAAAGTTGCAAATATTTTGATAGTCATTAAGCTTGGCTTTGTGAATGGAAGTTTAACATCTTGTGGCTACACTCTAATGCTTCTGTTTTCCTTAATCAAGTGTATGTGAAAATAAAAAGTTTTTCTCAGGGTGCTGTGAACAGTAACCTATGCTGATTTTTTTCAGTGTCCCTTTTATTGAAAGTTGTTATTAGCTAATGTGGAAGGAATGGTGTTGGCCTTTTCTGGATGGAGAGGATGGGGACAGCAGTATCCTTTTTACCTCTTGATTCCTGTAGATGGAGTCATTACCCATTTGATTTTCCTTTCCAGTCTTCCCTGGGGAGTTTTCTTGGTATACTTTCTGAAGTTGTTAATTCTGTTTTCCTGAGTGTCAGCTAAGTGCTGAATAAACTCTTGGTTTTTTAAGTTATTTTGTGGCTGTCCAGTGACTTAGTGAAATGTAGACTGATCTTATGTGTCTGTATTTTGCAAATAAAAACACTGGGGTGAAGTGTGCCTTCTTTCAGTCAGTGAATTGGATTCTATATAAAAACTGTTGTAGTATTAAATCAGGTAATTAGTGCTCAGACAATGAATTGAATCTAATCTGCTGACAAGCCCACACTTCTCTAAGCTACTTCATGTTCAGTTTATGTTTGATATGAAGAATGCACAAGACTAAGCTCTCAATATCAGAAGTATTATGTTGTCAGAGCTAAAATATGCGCAAGTAGGAATTACGACATTCATAGGCAGCACCTTAACAACATAGAGCTCTAAAATACGGAATTTCCATTGAATTAACAAAAGAAAAATAATCAAAATAATTTCTGGTGGTGACTTTTTTGCTTATTCTCCCTGATTTAGTCTATTTAATACTGGAAGGGTGGGGAGGAGACAAAAGGGAGAGGATGAAGCTATAAGAATGCTTCTGTTTTAAAATACTAAATAAATAAACAAACAAACAAACAAATAAACAAACACAGTACTTAATCCAAACAAGTTTTCTTGAAAATTCTTATGTTGAACAACTGACCACTTTGTCAAAACTTTTCTCATCAAAACCATTTAATAAATAAATCAATCACTTTGCAGGTTTTTTGTTACTGAGCAGACAGCTTAAATTTGTAGAAAGGTTTAAAATGTGTAATTCCTTTGGTTTTGTAGTGTTGAATTATTTATTCTGATAAACAAATGAATAAACAGCCAATATCTATCCTATGTTTCTTAATATCATTATTTATATTCTCAAGTTCTAGATCAAAATTGTGTATTTCAATTCTAAAGAGTTCTACTAACATTTCCAGCATAGTGTGCAAACCTAGAATCATTTAGGAGTCAGTCAAAAAGGAATTCCTGGAAAAGTAACCCTGAAAGTAACTTTTTTTTTTTTTAACCTGGAGGTCTTTGTCTAGATTGCAGCACATTTACTTCTTTTGGATGATTGCTGATACGGAACATAAGAAATTAGAAAAACATTTTGATGTTTTACATGTTGCTCTTGGTCCTTCTATGTTCAGTGATACGGAGGACACACTTAAAGTGCAGATTTCAGTGCAAGCAAATGAGACTATCTCAACTAATTATATATCATTAGAAATTTACCATCTATGAGATGATTGTTAATATACTGTCTTGAGCTGTGATCTGTTCTGTTGTTTCAGTCTGTTGTGCAGAACAGGAAGTGTGGGAACAAAAGGCTACCTTTCTGCAGTATTGAATCTTGGTGAAAGGATGGGGTAACCCCTCCCCAGATATATTTAGGAGCACGTGATGGAGGAGACTTAATGGGATTAAGAATATGGTGTGATAAATTAGAAACCACAATGACAAAATTTGTTTTCAATCATAATTTCTGAGCATTCACTTATGATTCAGAATCTAGTAAATAAACTTCATTTCTGTAACTAAAATAGCTAAATTATATGATTATTGCTTCTGTCTGCACATTTATTGTTCAAAGTGAAAGGTAGCACATTGAAATACCTCAGTAGGTAGAACTCCATAACACAACATGATAACAAATCTGGAAAGCTCAACAAAATGAATGGAAATATTTATGATAAGGAAACATAAAAACATTTTGAAATGTTTTTGCATGAAGTCCGAAGATGAATATTAGAGGTGACTGGTAAGAAATATAGTCAACAGATGGATCATCAGAAAGTCTAATACTCTGAGAACCGTGCCAGAACCACAGAGGGTTTCTAAGCAGGTTATGGTCACTCATAGTTTACAGCGGTGTAGAGTAGCAACTTAAGCAATACACTGTATCGATCCAAAAAATTGTTGTTAAAGGATTTTGTTTGCAGAGGGCCTAAAGCTGTGCTTTTCTTTTGTTAGAAGGACTGTATTTGGTTTGTGCTGTAACTGTTAGCATTTTTTATGTGAAAAGAGAGAAGATAAGACTGGTGAGTGCAGTATGTAAAGCCAGACCAAATAATTTCAGGTGTATTGGAAAAAAAAAATCATACATTAGGTGTTTAAAATTGAAGATATGTTAAAAAATACCCCAAACAAAATAAGTGCATGCAAGTGGTAAAACCACTTTGATCTTTAGCAGTAGGGGAGGATATAATTCATCCCAGGTACTGTTTACAGTACCATGAACAGTACTGTTTTCCCTACAAAATAGGAAAAACCCATATGAGAGTGAAATTTCATCTTTAACTACCATATTTTCTGCAAAATTTGATTTGTCAAGTATGGAATTTCCACAGCACAGTTTCTTAAAAATTCAGTAAGATGTTTACCTCTCTCATTCCTCTACATTTTTTTACATTTACTTGTTGTTTCTACTCTAACAAGCTGCAAAACACCTAAAAGCTGATCATATTTAAAGTATTACTTTAATAACTTAAATTCTCAGATTATTTATTTATTTTGTTTACTTCTTATCTGAGAAAATACATACCAAACAGCAACACATCTCATAGCCACAATATCTTTAGTAACTAAAGACCCTTATTAATAGGCTTACTCTTCTGCCCTTTTCAGGAGAGCTGTGCAAGAGTGCTGCTGTTCCGGGGAGCCAACAAGGAGATAAAGAATTATAACAGCCAGTCTCCATTTCAGGTAAAAAAAGAAACACCCATTCCCCCTGAAATATTTGCAAGAAAATCTCACGTGAACTTGGTTTAGTGGAGAAGTTACACTGCAGAAGGCTGAAAACAGCTGTAGAGTGAGATAAATACTATACTGGGAACTGTGCCTTTTGTGTAATGCAGTAAGTGAAGATGTCCTGAAATAATCAGTAATGAGATAAAACATGATCCCTCTTATCTTTTCCAATGACACTGTTGGTGACTTTGAGAATTATATGAACTGTTGATGACAAAACATGAAAAGACTGGTGTCTTGGGATTGGATGTTCCTTGCTTTGTGATTATCTCCAGTCCCATGTAAGAGAGATCCAAGGAGTGACTAGGCACCTAAGCTTTGCTTGGCCCCTCTTAACCAGAAAGAAGCTCTTCCTTCCTTGGGTGTGAGGCCAAAGAACGGGGCTAAGTTTCGGGGATGGGATTGATTTAATGCACTGTCAGTGGTAAAAGTTGAAGCTGTCATCTCTATCTTCAATAGAAAATGAAGTCTTTCTTTGGATTAGTCAAAATCTACTAGATGTTTTTTCACCATTTTCTTATATTAAAGTGCTTTCAGAAAGCTTAATTAAAAATCCAAATGGAAGAAAATTGTTTGTCCAAAGGGTTGGCAGGTGTGCCTGACAACCTTAAGCCCTTTTTTCTGAAGCAGTCTTTATTAGCTTGCATTTCAGAGAAACATTCATAATGCAAGCTGACATGTGAGAAATAGGGATGAAAGCTATAATGCTTAAAGAAAAAGGAGCAGAAAGTATTTTTTTCAGGTTACAGACGGTAGTGCTTCTGGAATAATGATGACACCATGCCATTGAAAGGAACTGTCCTATTTTGAAATGTGAGGGGCCTTTTCCCCAAAACCAGGTAGTCTTTCAACCAAAAGAAAACCTGATTTACTGATTTGCTTGTTGTATATTTCCCATTAAATCCTTGACCCACTTTGAGTGATGCTGGCATAGAATTCAAAGAAGACTGCCTTTTCTCTCATGCTTTGAAAGAGTTAGAATATTAACTATGTCCACATGAGTGTCTGAGTTGTCTTCTCAAAGTTTACATGTAGATAACACCTCTGAGTTTCAGGCTTTTAAAAAAACCCACCTCAGCCAAGTACTTCTGTATCAGTTCAACTTTCTCCAAATTTTGATGGTTTTCTGGACATATGTTGTGTATCTCAAGAGTTTGAGTTCTGCCTGCAAATTCCAGCCAGATCACTATTTAATTTTGGGACCATTTTCCCCAAATTGGGGAACAGTGCATTAATAATTTAATTTTAGGCACCATTTTCAGACTGCTAATAGTTTGCCATCTAAATATATGCTAAGCACAAACTCGCTAAAGACTCAATAATACTTATCACTGCACCTTAGAATTATGGAGTGATTAAAAAACGGAATAAGAGAAAACCCTAATTATTGCAGGGATGGATTCCAGTATAATCTCTTTACTTTGAGAGATTAGATTATTTTATTACTTCATGTCTTTAAGATTAACTTTTCTTTTTGTTTTAGAATTTTATGTGGGTAGGGTAAATGGCAAGTGGAATAGTTTCCATTTGTCTTCCACTTTGTGCTGACTGCTGCTACATTCTTGTTCTTCCTCTTAGAAAAGTACAGGGGGGAAAAAAAAAGCAAAAAAGAAAATAGTTGTAAAAGGTAGTTGTAGGGCTTCAAGAAGTGAAGGATGACTAGCCAAAACTAGATAAAATCAAGTGAGCACAGGAGACGGAAGAAATAGTTTTAAGAGAAGGGTATATCTGTGAAAGCATGCTTACTGACCAGCGACCTATCTCTTGTCCCTATGGAAGAAAACTCTCTTTGTTATCTTTTATTATATGTTACACTTCTGATGCTTGGGCTTTTGATGGGTCACTCTTCCCCTAGCACAGACAGAAAGACTGACAATTAGGTTGGCTTTGTTTTATCCTTTCTAGATCCCCATACTTAAGGAAATTACTTTCCATATTTTTACTCTGTGGTGTCTTACTTTGAGGTGTAGAGAATGTAGGAAAAGTTCTACTTTTTCCAAACAGAATGAGTAGAGAAAACCCTGACGCCAGCACTGCCATAAAGCAGCATTAGAATTAATTCTTTACCATCTGTCTGTTGCTGACCCAGTCGATCAAACGCCACAAGTGGAGCTGTTATAAAATTATGCAGAATCCCCATGAGTTTAATAGAATTTTGCATACTGAAAATGTTTACTCATGCAATCAGTAGCAAGGAACATCGAAGCATCTCATATGTACATAGTGAGAACAGTTGTAGCTGCAGCATCTATTCCTTTGAGTAACCTCCATTATGTTCTTTTCTCAGAAATCTGAAAGGATGATTCTTTTGAATTGCTGCTTATAGAACTGATGATACAAAACCTGTGCTATTCTGTAAAACAGAAGTATCCAGACATGGGGAAATTTATGTGTTGCTTTCAAGGCCTGCCAAGGCCTTATTTATTCCGATGAAAATGAGCAGCAGAGGTTGATCTGTATCATTAGTGTCCAATGAATTTAGTGTAATTTTACCACCACCACCAAAAAAAAAAAAAAATTGTGCTTGTGTTCACTTCTTACCAAATGTCAGTGCTTATTAAAACAAGTGCAGGGACTGTACAGTAGGAAAACTAATCTGGGCTGAACTCTGTGCCACGTAATTCAGGTGTCCCACACAGCGTTCACATCTCTGCCTGGGATCTGGCTGTCCTTTTTGCCTTTTCAGTCTCTAGCAGAGTTGGAAAGGCATTGCCAGGTGTCGAGGCCATGGAAAAGCTTGACTGTCTTTCCCAGTTAAGCACCTAAGCTTTTATTAGCTGCTTCTGAAAGAATGTGTTTCATCTTGACTGATGACTGGGGTCCATTAAATTAGTAATCAGTGTTGAGTACAGTTAATGTCTGTAGACAAAAGTCTGTGACTGTCAACTGTCATAGATTGTACTGATAGGCTGTACTCTGCAATAACAGAATATGGGTCAGCAGAAATGTCTCTGTATGTTTTTTGTGGGGTCTGGCCCCCACTAATAAGCATTAGCACTTGTATGGACGTGGGGTGAATCTCCTCCCTCTGTCCTCCCTCGGTATGTTCCAAGTAGATTAGGACAATTCCTGCATCACTGTGCTCGGTCTAATTGTCAGAATTTTGTGTGTACTGTGCATTTCAATTAAAGGCTGACTAGCAATTAGAGGTAAAATGAAACCTGTGTCACATCATTATACTATATTGCCAGTTCTGTTTATTAATCACTTATTTATCCATCCCATCTTGGCCGGGCAATCTAAGTACCTTGCTTGCTAATTATTCTGTGCTCACCGATGAAAAAAACATTGGCATTACAGAGCTGCAAGTTCTGGCTAATAATACACTGTTACATACATTGTGCTTGGCCATTTTTTTTTTCTGAAGAAAGATCGGAGCAGGTCCGTGCTTTCACTTGTAGCATTGAACTTGGACATGCCGTCACCCATGGCTGGTGTAAGTACTGCTAACGCCTCCACAACCTTTCATACCTTATGATAGAGCTTGCTGAAACATGATGTTTGCCACCAACATGCCGTGCACCGACTTACAGCTCTCATAAACAGGCTTATGAAATGCTGATCTGTAACTTCTGTTCCAGCTATAGGTTAGCTTTAGTTTCCAGTGGTTTTAGGTTGGTTTTTTTTTGCTGTTATGTTTTCTATTTTATTGGTAAAACCTACCAAAATACCTTTTCAGAAAAGACATGATATCCTATCAACGTGCATAGCTACTTAGTTTTCCACACTTTTTATATGTTCCTATATGAATGTGAAATAATTTCTTACCTATCTGGCAAATAATAATCCAGTAACTCAGAAATTTCACTTTTGCAGTGTTTACAAGCACTGAAATTCTGTTGTGAAGGTAAAAATGAACATACACCCCGCTTATCATGTTTTTCCTTTTTCTTTTAGTGAGCAGAAGCTTTATATGAATAATTCATATGTTTTCATATGGGCTATAAAGCACTTTCAAGCTTAGAGCTAATGGTACTAATAATTAGTCAGTGTTTTAAAGCATATGTGTTCAAATATAAAGAAGAACTATTCTGATGTGGCATTTAGTGACAACTTTTAGTGGCAGAGTTGTACCTGAGAATGACTTCTCTCTCAGATGTACCCTGCTATTGAATATTGCTGTCCCGTATCAGTATGGGTCATTAATGGGCTTATGTTACACAGATGGCAGGAGGAGCAGCAACCTTCCAGATACACTGCAGGTAGAATTGTTCCTTTCAGTGTGTTGGCTGTACATCTCTTTTCAATTGCTCATATTTTTGCCAGAGTTGAATAATTTGAAATGAAATTTTCCATGCCTGGTATCTCAGGCAGCATTGTTTGGAAAAACAAAATGATTCAGCCATTTCGGAGTATGGGTGAGGGAAAACATGTGTTGTTTTGCTCATACTGAAAAACTCTGTTGACCCACCTCTCCTGGTCCCATCTCCCCTGTTGTGTTATGTTGTTTTGTTTTATTTTGTTTTCTTTAATTGCCCTGCATGCTGTCAGTGATCTCCATATTAATAACGTGGCTGTGTAAACCGGTTTGCAGTCTGACTCAAATACAGGGGCTCCAAAACCAGACTGCATATTTGGAAGCTAAGCTGGCTGGGGGGATTATAGATGGGCGGAATTGGGCATGGGTAAGTAAACATCGAGCTTGGAGATGGGTAAGAAAGTAGAAGAATAGAGTGAATGGAGCAAGACCAAGATTGATAAGGGTCTTGGGGAGATCTTCAGTTGTCAAGGGCAGAAGAGAAAGAAAATCAGATTGGAGGGGAAATTGGGATTGAATGTATAAAAAGAGATCCTTGCTTGGTGATGATGCTGGGGAGACTAGAGCTGGGAGGCCAGGGAGCTGGGGCTGTGACAGGGTGGACGTGCACGCAATGCTCCCAGCCCTGCTAGTGCTTTGTAAAAAAATCAGTCCTGTTTATTATCCAGTATATCACTAGAATGGCTTCCCCAAACCT